TTTATAAAAACCAGAATAGCGGTAGGTGGGAGGTAATTGAGCAGTAGGTGAGATGTGGTAGGTGAGTGATAGGTGAGACACTTAATTAGAAAACTAATTAAATTGCGGTGGACTGAGTCTCTACATTACCCAACACTCAGTGAGTGATACTTGTAATTTATGTGTCAATTGTGCAAGAGTAGTGTGAGTTTGGGTAAGAGAAAGAACGTTCTCTTGATGCCGCAAATAATAAGATAATTCCGTATCATCTTCTGCGCCTGCTACGCCAGTACAGTACAGATAGTTCGTTCCTTGGCAACTCGCGAACCATTTGCCAACTACTTCTGACAGTTGGTTACAATCCCTGTTAACATATATATGTATTCGCACAATGAGAAAATGTAACAGAAATGAATTCATCTTTCTGATGTATTGGTTTTTCTCCGGTATCATTTCTTCTTTAAGCTGGCAAATTAAGCTTCATCTTCCGCTGGACTTCAACATTTGGAGCTGCGACTGATTCCACAACTGAGGTAAAACAGAGGCGTTTGTACAGTGAACAGATGCAGATTGATCTTTTCAACAGCAAAGACATGAAGGCTAAAGTATCAAGAGTTTTTTTGTTTTTTGTGTGTGATTTATGTCCCATCAAATTATTTTAAGCCCCAAAGGTGCCTTTAATGTTGGTATTGAGCAATTTTGAAGAATTTCAACCTAAAATAGCTCTGTAATCTTAAACATTACATGGTGGAGCTGCTTCAATTATGTCAAGCTTGTGAATTCTCTTTTAGGATTTTTCATGTTGAAATTCTTGTTCTTATATATCATGATTTGTTTAAGAAGATATGCTATCAACTATCATATAAATAATCCAATAATATCGATTTAAATATATATTTATTTGTGGAATTTAATATTTTTGTCCATGAATTATTATCCTTATCTCACGTATTATTCATCCTCCCTCATGGTGAAGACGATTAGAAAAGGAAGTCCTTTGTTTCGAATAAGATTTTAACAGGCTTCCACTTAAAAAAAATAAAAATAAAAATAATAAAAATAAAATTTTTTTTGGCAGATATACAGTTGGTAAAAAACGCAGTTTAGATGAAATAATGGCATATATTTCTTTCTATTTTTGTAAAATTAATTGTTACATGTTATATTTATTTATTTATTTTTTGTTAAGAAAATAGTTTTTACAAGATTGTGACACTATATATATATATATATATATATTTATATAAGTTTGTGCATATTTATTTGTGATATAGTGATTGAGAGTGTAATTTTCCATCTTAGGATGACAAATTCCAATTTACATATTTTCTTTTTGAACTCTTTTTTTTCCAAAATAAATAAATAAATAAAAGCCCGCTTCAAGGATGTAAAAACCCACAGGTTAATGAGCAGGCATAAGCCCATAAAAGAATAAGAGTGAATAATTTGCCATGGGCCGTGTCAAGGTGATTAATACCGAGTCATTATATTGATGAATATCTATCGGAATAAATCAAATAAAAATGTTTTTATTTTGAAGTATGGCAAGCCCACGACAATGGCAAACACATATAGATGGTGATTACGGCTCTCAGCCAGCTAGAAGTGAGAAAGATGATTGTTCTTGAAAGAGTAGAAAAAACAAAATTGATAGTAGTGTAAATGTGTCTCAAAATAATGATTGCTCTACAATTAACCTTAAGGATGATCTCTACTAAATGCTTGAGATAGTAGAAGGGGCACCTCTAGCAGTTGAGTCCAAGAATGGGTATAGGTAATGTTAGCAATCTACTTTGCGAAGGTTTGAGTGATGGTCGATGGAGGAGAAAGATTGTTGTCAAAAGAGAAGATGATGATGTTAATAAGAGCAGGAAATTCATGTTAATGTTGCATGCCTGTGAAAAAAAGAGACCTTCATCAATGTCTGAATGCTATAAATGATGTTACTTATAATTGCATAATCATTTTATAAAGAACAAGTTATTAAGCAACATCATATTGCTCAATATTAAGGATATGACATGTTGTCTTTTGTCAATTTTGATCATTCTAACATCATATTATAGGACTAGAGGACTGGTTAAAGATGTATCTAGCACCAAGTTGTTTCTGCTTCACTTTAAATTTGGTAGGTAAAAATGTGATGTTTGTGTGCCTTCAATTAACTGCAACCATCTTTTAAATATTATACTTTGGATAATGTTTTCATTATGAAATTAATGTGTCAAAATTTTCTTCTATCTTTCATATTAAAACAAAAATCATTATTTCACATAAAATAATATGTATGATGATAAAAGTTGCTAAGGAAACTTGTTGCTACTATTCATTCAAAAACGGGCATCTGTTGGAAGATATTTGCACCGCTAAAAAGAAGAATCAAATTATTTAAGATTTAGTAAAGTTTAGGAAAGTATAAATCAGAAGTAAATAAAAATTATACTAGGCACATCAATATTTAAATACACACTGAACCCAACAATCAAACTTATAGCTGAGACCTATGAGTCACTCAGTAGATATGTCTATACTAACCTATTATTTGATTATCCAATGTATGATTAAACTATAAAATTTACAAGTATTGATGTTATAATATTGAGTTTTTTTTTCAACCTTTTATTAGCTACGAAAGTTTTAATGGCCTTGTAAAATTATATTATATTTATTTTTTGGTAGGTTTATATTAATTCATTAGGATGCTATTAAAATGAGAATTTTTTTGATAAACGACTTAAAAATTGAATAAAACCTTTCTTCTATGAGAAGAGGATTTTTTCTAAGAGTTAGATGCAGAAAGAGCTTGGTAGTGAATTTGACTTGTAATAAATCTCTTCTAATTACAATGAATCATAATATTTGATTTATCCTTTTCCACGGCTTAGCTCTAGCAATTTTGCAGTGGGGGTACCTTACCTTCCACTCTATTGATTTTTGGTGGTTTTAATAACTTCTCTTGATTTCTCGTTAGGGTGCTAGCTCAAGGACATCAATGGAGACTTTATCATTCCATGAACCTTTATGAGGCTCCATTATCTTTCTTTTATATGGCCTCACTACTTATGCTGCTCTATCACACGATAAAATGACCCATCCTTCGACAAATACATATGAGAGTCCAACTACTTCTATTTCACATGGTTCCTTTTAAGTTAAGGATACCCTAACAAACGAGGCTAAGCTCATTGTTTCCTCTACAAATCTCACCTCTATGACTTTTATTATATTGAAGGCTATTTATTTTAGAAAAAAGAACTTGAAGCCCTAGCAGCTCCATATGGATTTTCTCCAATTACTTAGTTTTTTGTAAAGTGTATTACCTTGGATGCCACTCACGCCTAGAATTATTTGGAAATCCCGCTATTGGCTTGCTTAATGCCAAGATTTTCTCTGTTAACCTTACAAATGATTCAGACAACAAGAGACTCTATGCTAAGAGACCTATTATATTATCAATTGCAAAATAAGGCTATTAAAATAGATACCATACTTCAACATAAAAAAAAGGGGCACTCACTTATTTATAAATATCAAATTCTTCATGTTATATGTTTCATTTTTTAGCGACCATTATAAATTAATCAGGATATTATTGTAATCTTTAGGCCATCATTTGTCAAATTTTTTATGGAGTTAAGAAAGCACATTCGTTAGATCCAATTAAGTATATGACAATATGGATATTTTAAGAAAAATCAAGGCTGAGAATATTCCTTTATTTCTTTTATCACTACAAAATTCATGATCTCATCAAAAAATGTTTTATCAAGCTTTAGAAGCATCTCATGACATTTACTTGCCAGAGAATATTATTGGTGAAAATTTATCAAGCTTGATGGCTCATACTAAACAGATATTCAAATAAGAAGAATGCTGGTCCATGAAAAATACAATCTTTTGTTTTGCGAGCAGCTTTTATGTAACCATGCAAAAACAATATATAGACATATTTCAAACCATGCAAGATCGGAGCATTCCTAGTTAAGTTATATTTTAGGCTTAGCTCATGACTTAACATTGAATTCATTAAGCATAATTTTGTTGTAATTTTCTAAGGAGTTGGCTCGTGCTTATTTTGACTTATTCAAGTGGCTATAATTAAGAAGAACGATTTATTACAAGCATGCTGCTCAATGCTTGTGTATTTACATACCTAACCCCCAAACTTCCAAATTTTACAAACATGCCATTTTATATATGCATGGAAAATATATATTTCTTGAAAATGAGAATATTTTTGACGTGATATAAGAGTTTTGAGGAGTATAAATATAAAATATAAAATTATAAAGATTAGATATCTAAGTAGATATGAATGGAGTGTTATATATGTAAATGTTGCATAGAAAAAAAAGACATAAAGAAACACAAATTAATAATTGGGTGTGAATTATGATTGTCCGAATAGGTTGTTGTTCACGAAAAAATCATGTTTGGCTTATTAAATAGCTTATGTTCGATAACTCGTGTGCGAATCATCTGTTAAGTAAGCAAGCTGAAGACGAGCAATCTTTGTCGATCGTGTATGGCACATTTGAGCTCAAAATAAGGAAAATTTATATATTATTTATATGAGAATATATTATGTATAACTAAATTTGAGTTTAAATCATAGCAACTTATGTGATAATGTGGCTCCGTGCTTTTTATTATAAAAAAGTCATTTTTATTGTTTAAAAATGATGACACTTCAAATTCAATCTCATGCATCTATTTTTCTAATTAATTTAGATAAGAGGATTTTAAAATGAATACGAGTTGAATACAAATAAAGATATGTAAATTTAGCCAAACACAGGGGCAGATTCAGACCAGGAGGAAAATCAGCCTTTTGAAATATCAATTTTGAGGACAATCAGCCTTTTGAAATATCAATTTTGATACTCTTGAAATACCATTTTGCTCTTGATTTCAGTTTCCTCTAAGAAAAAGAGACCGATTCTGCGGCTGATAGAACATGATTACTATTCATGAGGTAATATCAAATGCAATTAATTATAAATGAGCTGAATGCTAGCCGGCCTGAGTACTGCCCTAACCTGCGATTCTGTTGCAAGATTCCTCGGTGCCATAATAACATTTACAACCTAAAAAAACAGCGATCTTGGCCTCTGTAGACAGTTTTGCCGCCGCACAACAAAATATCGGAATCGGATAACAGTATAGCGACGGAACGCAAAGTGCAATCTTTCACTGCCTATTCAGTCCACGCCCTCCTGCCACATCCCTCCCAACCTTCCGCTCTCTCTTCATGGAAGCAAAATCCTAGAAGAAAACGGAACTTCCCCCAATGGCGAAATCCCTAGCTATCTACCCTGCGTACTTCCTCCCTACTCCCTTGACCCTCAATCCTCGCCATGGAAGGCAAAGGTTTCCCCTTTCGAGGCCCCAGCGAGCGGGCGTTAGGGTTCGAATGAGCCTCGGGGAGTTCCCTCACCCTAACGGGTTCGATTCCCTTTTTGATTTGGAGCGAATTTCTTCGAGGATGGAGGGATTGCTCTTCACGTTGGCGGACGCTGTTGTGGCCGCGGATCCTTCTACGTCTGACACGGCAGCTGCTGCGGCGGCTCAGAAGAACGGGGGTTGGTTTGGTTTTATCTCAGAGGCCATGGAAATTGTTCTCAAGGTAGCTTGGTATTTCTCATTGCTTTTTATTTTGCTCTTTGAATGGAGAAATTGGATTTTGCGTGAGCCTAAGTTTGAAAGGGAGAGCTTTTTTTAGGGTTAAAGTTGCGTTTTTTTTGTGTGAAATAATTTAAGGTTTTTGTTTCCTTGAATTACATTTGCAGGTTCTGAAGGATGGGCTTTCGGCGGTACATGTGCCGTATGCCTATGGATTTGCAATCATCTTGCTTACTGTGATTGTGAAGGTGGCAACCTTTCCTCTGACTAAGAAGCAGGTGAATGGTTTCTCCCTTGCTAAGTTATATATGTGTTTCTGTGTATATCTTGTCCAAGAGTACTAATATCCTTTTAATAAACATTATACTTATCTTCATTACATTTAAGGGCTACTTAGTAGCTAAGATTTAAATAAAATAATATTTAGTAAATCTTGCAAATTTGAATTGTTGTTGTTAAACCTTGAAAACTCTTTGACAAAATATTTTGTGTCTGTTGCAGGATTTGGGATTTAAATAGATATTATAGATGCCAGTGATTAAAGTTTTGGTGAAACTGGTCTGAAAAAAAAATGTAACAGTATAGATGAATTAAAAAATGTTGGCATTCTATCAGAAAAGTAATTACATGTAAATTTATAGTGAGCTCGTATGCTATCGACCATCACATATCTTTAGGATGTTTTAAATTAGTACTACTTATAAGTTATAGAGAATTAAGTTGAATCGTTGAGCTTGTAAAAAAATTTAATGAACTTTTAGAAGATTTAAAGCTTTGTAAATTAATATTTTAGTTTATTAAGCTTAATAAGATTGACTCATTAAAGCTAAATGAGTTTAGCTCGATAGGGCTCATTTCTGCCTCAAATAAGTTATTTGCTTAAAGTTCGATGATTACAAAATTAACCAAGCTTGAGCTAATCTCAAACCAAGCTTGAACAAACGTGAATTTAATAAAGCAAGCTTGAAAACTATCACATTAGTTCAAATTGAGTTTGAGCTGAGTTTTAATGTGTTTTAAGGTAAACAATCTCCAGCTCATCCTGGACCAATTTGTTTGTATCCCTAGATTACTTGTCATCTTGTGATTTATGTCTATATAACAATCATTTCTTTTTTAGATGTGTTCTTGCTAATGTTTCTTAAAGCTCTATAACGTTAGTTGCACGAGATTAAATGTTGTAAAAATAGATCTCTATAAACTCAACGTTTCTGTATGCGGGGGAACACAAATATTAAGGGCTTGTTGACATAGGTTTCTTGTAGTTTATTTTCGTTCATTTACACAATGGTCTCTGGACCATGATATTTTTGCATCAAGAACTCTTGTATTGACAATGCTGTTTATTTGAACACCCAAACTAATTGTAATAAAGTCTCAATAATTGGATGAATAAAAATCTAGCATCTATTAATGGCTGCACATTATTATGCCTACTTTTATTCCTTTTCAGGTGGAGTCAACATTGGCTATGCAAAATTTACAACCTAAGATCAAGGCAATCCAAGAAAGATATGCTGGAAACCAGGTTTGTTCTGTATCCTCATGCTCTTGCAAGATGAATTTTCCATTTATGAAATTCTTTTTGATATCTTAGGATCAAACTCTTTTGTAGTTTGAACTTTTTGTCATTGTCATTTTGCGTGGAGTTCACTAATATAAGTTGTGAGTAACCTTTAAAAAGAACAGAAAGGCAGAATTTGGTGATGGCATATGGGGGGTTGGTGTGCAAGTCCAACTTGATGGACGAGAAAAGTGAAAGAAGAGTTCTAGTATTCAATGTCATGCTATGTTGCATTTCTCTTTATCTTGTCTTCAATCAAAGGCTAGTCTTTAAATTTCTCTAGAAGGACATTTTTCTACCTTAGTTTGTGCCATATGTGAACATGTTTCTTTAATTTTAGTTTTTGTTAGCAAATTGGGCGTGAGAGCACTTGTGATGAACAATAGTATGATGAGGTGGGTCGATGACGCAATGAGTTTGGTGGATTTCTAACATCTAAGTCTTCTTTTGATGTCGGTTAATTTGGAGTGGAATTTCTTTGGCCCAGTTTGGTTATCAGTATAGCTCAGTAGTTGAGCTGCAGGCCACCTGTTATTGTTTCTGTTTTTATGTTAACTTTAATATTTGCATCTAATATTTGTGCTTTTTCAACTATGTTACTTTTGGATCAACGTGCATAAATGGATGTTTATCATACTTGATGAGTATACTGAAATTCTCAAGTTGTAGTTTGCTGTAAAATGAATAAGCAAGGAAAAACAATGACCTAAGAATTATGTTTTCTTGAATCATGACCATATACTTCTTCTAATTTTACAACCAAAAGTTAGATTTATATTGAAAGCAAGTTTTATCTATGCGTTTCCCATTTTTTCAATATTTACTGTAACAAATGCTTGTTATCTCAACAATTTGCTAAAGATGATGGCTCTAATGGAAGGATGGGACTCACATTGCTAGTATATTGTTCTGGGAATGATGTTATGCCTGGATTGATTTGGATTTTGGAAGGATAAGTTTTCTAGCCTGAGCTTGAATTGTCAACAAAATTGGAACAGAATTTCTCTCTGCTTGTCCATTAAAGAGGCAGGGGCATTATTCATGATGGGGCATCAAGCTTTTCAAGCAATCTCATGGCATATATTTTATGGATTTCTCGTTTATGTTGGAAGTAAACTGAGCTAAACATTTTCCAGGTGTTAATTTTTGGTATATAACAGATAATATTCATGATAGGGTGAGAATGGACTCAAAAGAAAAGATGGGGAGGAAATTTTGCAACAGGAAATGTTTGACAAGAGGAAGAAACCAGGAAAATTAATTGATGATTTAGGGTAGAATTTGATAGAACCTTCTTATTAAAATTTTGAAGATATCCTCGGATGTGTTTGATTGGTAATATGAATCTAAAAACTGAATTTTAGTATTTAAATCTTTTTTTTTTCACCATTGTGTGTCTTATAATATTCAGAGAATGGTTGGAATTAAATTGATGTTGGCATTTTGGAAAAAAAATTATAAGGCTTATCTTTAATTATATGTTTCTGGTGCAATTGTCTGCTCAAATAACTGTCTTCGTTTTAGTTGAGCATTTATTGTGAGTATGATGGCAAATATTTGGTGTTTATATAGCATCTCTTTCTATTTACATTTATTGATTATGACCATGCAATGACACAATCCAATTTTGGCATGTGATGCTTAATTACATGCTTTTCATATTTGTACCTTTTTTAAACGTTCAAAACCAATTATAATGATGGCTTTGTTATCTGTGCAATTCCTACTACAGTGTCATGTAGTAGTGCTTATATATATATATAGATTGTCCTTTTTTTGCCACAGAACTTGGAAAGTGACTAAATCAACTCAACATAGATGATTAGGACGATGATATTTTTCCTCTTGTTTTAGCTAATTTGATATTTGAGCAGATTATTTTTGTGCCAATTGATTGTGTTCTTTTTTAATGTGGAGTTTGGTAGTCTGATTTTTACATTTTATGTACTCAATTCAGGAAAGAATACAGCTTGAGACAGCCCGGTTGTACAAGCAGGCTGGGGTGAATCCATTAGCAGGTTTGCATTAAATGAGCTCACAATACTAGTTTAGTTGAATGATGCTCTTTCTATCTCCCACAAGCATTCCTCCGATATTATGTATGGTTACAGGGATCTATGGATTAAGTGTATTTGAAATTACTCCGCTTTGTCCTTTTCCTTTTAGGTTGACTATTGCATAGACAATTTATTGTAAATTAAGTTTGCAAACAAGCTCATTAAACCTGCTAACTTTCTTCATTAACGTGCATGGTTCTTAAAATTTTATCAGATATTATTTCCATATTTTGCTAATTGGTTTTTTTTATTAATCTGACAGGATGTTTACCAACTTTGGTGACAATACCAGTCTGGATTGGCTTGTATCAAGCTCTATCAAATGTGGCAAATGAGGTGAATGATAGATCTTCTAAAGCATGGTTTCTCTTAACCGAGAATTTGTTTTCCAAGTTTAGTTTGCTGAAATAAAGCTATTCTTTCAAGATCAGGGCTTGCTGACCGAAGGATTTTTTTGGATTCCGTCTTTGGGAGGTCCAACAACAATTGCTGCTCGACAGAGTGGTTCTGGAATCTCTTGGCTTATACCTTTTGTGGTAATAGAAAATTTGACAATCAAATTTTCAATGTTGATTTTTTATCATGATTGATCATAAGAGAGATAAACTCAATATTGCAGGTATTAGATGGTATTCTATAACTTGTCATGCTTGCTGTAAATTGTTTAACATTCTTCTGTTAATAAGATTATCATTTTATAGCTATGCATAGATGATTATCAAATGAGGCTTCGTCCGAGTCAGCAACAATGTTTTAGCATGTGATGCTTTTGAAGTTGCTCAATTTAGTGATAGAGGAATTAAAAAAATGAGCGGGAGGTAGGAGTTTCAAATAATATTGATGTTGTGAGTTATTTGCATATTTTTGTGTTCAACTAATTCGTTAAGTTCACTTTACTTGTCTTTTCCTATCTGAAGCCATCTATTATGCTTTAGAAATAATAGAAGTTATCATTTTATTGGTTCAATTTATTCTGAAATAAATCATACCATAAATATTGCAAGCTTCTTTTCATAAAATAGAAGTTGTCATTTAAAAATTTGTTGATGCATTTTATTTTCATTGATTCAATTTGTTGTTCTCATTTAACCCATAACCGGCTCCATAAAAAAGGAGCTGAACCTGAACAAGGATCATTAGCAAACTTAACCTGGTTTACGTGGAACTCAAAAGTTAGCTAACAAATCCGAATGAGTTCCTAGTTTGTTTGCTCCCCCTATTAATGCCATGCATGATTAAATCTAATAGTTTATCTTATTTGATTTTCTCCTAATCAAATCGGGTTCGCGTGCTTCATTACTAATACGAAATGCTAGCAAGATTAGTTTATAGAAATGAACAGGAATGAATGAAATTTGAGGATGCTTAAAAGCTGACCCTCAGCATTTTTGGATAAGTCTATTAATGATGATGATAAATATTTTCTTTGAATAGGCTCTTAGCATGATGGTCCATTTACTGTTGCATTTATATGTATATGGTGCAGGATGGACATCCACCCCTGGGCTGGTCTGACACAGCAGCATATCTTGTACTCCCTGCACTTCTTATTCTTTCTCAGTATGTCTCCATGGAAATTATGAAACCACCTGAGGTTATTCATCCTCTTAAATTCTCATTTCATTATTTTGACAAGAAAGTGTTTTTGAATTATGATTTACTATAATTGAGGTTGAAATGACAGACCGATCCATCTTCAAAGAATACACTTCTCATTTTCAAGTTTCTTCCCCTGATGATTGGCTACTTTTCGTTGTCTGTCCCATCAGGATTATCAATTTATTGGTTAGTATCTAATCATGTTTGAACATCATTTTTGTTGATTTTCTAATTCAATTGTTTGAAAAAATTTATCCAATTTTAATCTTAATCTTATTCAATGATCAGGCTTACAAACAATATTCTGAGCACAGGACAGCAATTATGGCTGAGAAAATTGGGTGGTGCAAAGCCTATAGTAAGTCAAGATGGAGGTGGCATCATTAATGCTGGACAAGCAAAGCGTTCTGAGAGGAGTGGAGAAAGGTTATTATCCATCAAAGCTTCTTTTTTTTCTTTCTTCGTATCTTGATTACTGATCGAGCCTTTTGTTATCAGGTTTAAGCAATTAAAAACAGAAGAAGAGAGAAAAAAAATGTACAAAGCATTACCAGGGGAGGAAGCTCAGATTCCGGCTTCTGATACTGATACAGAAACTGATGAACTGACTGATGAGGAGTCTAAGGTATTCATCGACCATTTCTTTTTTCTTACGGTTTTACCTTAAAACTGGACCTCTAAATTTTAGATATGATGGATGAGAGGAGAAGAGTGTAGTGGGGAGAAGAAGATAATAAGAAGAAATAGAGAAGAGGAAGAAGAGTGTAGTGGTGACAAGAAGAGAAAAGATGAATGTTGTGGTGTGAAGAAGATGAGAGGACGAAGAGGAGAAGAAGAATGTACGACTTACACTGGAGAAACTGAAGAATGCTGGAGAGAAAGACCGAACGAGAGCCGGAGCACCAAAATGGAAGAACGAAGGAAGGAGGAGAAGTGGCCGAATTCCTTCTGTGTGGAGGCAAGGGGGTTCATTTAAGGGGAAAAGGAGGCGGCGACTGAAAGCTGGAGTGGTTGAAGCTTCAAATATAAGCAGTAGGAGGAGGAAGAACGGTGACGTGGGGTTTAGAGTTATTTCAGGCATATGATTATTAACAATAATTGCCCCAGGCAAATACGATATTAGGCAGAAGTAATTTTTTCCTAGTAACAAATCGCAGAGCAAAAGCACCCCTTAAGGCAAAATGTGACATGTTTAATGTTTATTGCATGTCAAATGTTTCATCTTATGTATTGAAGTCTTTTTATAGCATTGCATGTTTTTTGCATGTTAAGAGCTTTGGTTTTTGTTCGATAACAAGAAGTTATAGTCAACTTTAGATAAATCATGATTTGAGGAGAGTGAAGTGTCAATTTAATCCTCTTGACTATTTTCATGAGGTTATTTTAATCGTCAGGTATAAAACTGTCAAATTAGTGACTATAATTTTTAAATATGTGCTGAAATCATCCCCAAGAAGAACTATTTTAGTCTCCATTAAAAGATTCTGGGAACAAAACTGGCATTTTTATAGACTCGGGACTAAAATGACTCTCTGCGAAGAGTCATGAGACCATTTTGACATTTTTCTCAATCTGAGGGATTTAAAGATAACATGATGGCCATTTTTATGACAGAATGAAGCACATGATGAGGAATACGCTGCTGCTACCGGGAGAAAAGGGCTTCCAAATTACACCGGCACAAGGAAGGGCAAAAGATCAAAGAGGAAGCGAACAGTGCAGTGATTGATTGGGCTAGCAAATGTTTCTTTTGTTGTTGGAATGTAAAGTTGATTTTTAGCTGCAACTTATAGTCTTTTAAAACTTCATGTTGATTTGAGTCATGTGATCTCATTATTCTTAAATCATAATGTTATAAAAAAAGCATATTTTCGGCATCTTCAGGTTGGTTGCCTTTGCCAGTTTTGTATGACAATAAGCATTTTGTCATGGAAATGTCAATTAGTTTGCAGTATTTTTTTCCTCAAGGATTTTATCATGTCAAGGTGAGCACTCGAATTCTGATCTCTTGAAGTTCGAGCATCGCAGGATGGGTTGTCTTCAACTTTTACTCTGATAGCTTTTGTGGTATTTTTATGTATGTTAAAGATTTGGCTTCTATGCAATATAAATATGAATGTTTAGGTTTCAGACATGTAAATGTATAAGAATTGTGGTATGTATGTAAATAAAAGGGCTGATCTGAAGTCTGTGTTTATGAATTTGGCTAAGTTTAATTTTGTAGTGGTTTAGCCTAACTAAGCCCCATTGACCTGAAGCTACTGGGCTAATGGCATAGCTAACGGAAACCAAAAAAGAAAATATCAAAAAAAAATTAGGGCAGGGAGCTCTAAACTAATGTAGTTGCAACGACCAAAATTCAAACCACAAAATAAGGATGCATAGCTAACTTAAATCACACAAAATGCGAGCACTATAAAAACAAAAAAAATGGTGAAAATCAACTTACAAAAATTAGGTCACAGATTAATGATATGTAGTGAGATCGGAGGAAGAGAGCGGAGATAACAAGAACGAAGATTGAAGGTACCTCGTATGGGTCCTTCACTATATGGCACAGTGAGCAGAGGAGAAGCTCGAGAGGAAGAAGTGGAATGAGGGTGAAATAACTTGGTGACAAATACGGAATATGCATATTAAGCCATGACATGAAAAGACCCTTACAACGTGCAACATTATTTAAAATGTGAAATTAATGTGTTATTCAAACGACATAATTCGACGTGTGTTGCTACATAACTGTCGCTCTTCTATGCTAAATGCAGGGGAAGAAAGAAGATTCAGGTCTGTTTGGTGCTGCTGCAGCTTATTAAAAATAAACTGTGAATCAGCTGAATAATAATATGATGTTTAAAAAACTGTAGTGACTATTATACATTTATTATTTTTTAAGTCAATCCACAGTTAGAAAACTGCCACTGTACCTAGTCAGGAGTGGTTGAAAAACACAGATTTTAATAACAGTTTTTTGAAAACATTGTCAAAACGTAGTTTACCCAAACAGACGAAACTGCGGTGTGGTGCCGCACCGCCGCCTCAAACGGACTCGAAGTTAATTGTTGGGTAACAAATAATTAGTGTTTAAGAAGTTGTATCTCTATCACACTTTCTTTTTTTAAGAAAAATTTTTTTGGTTGTACATCTCAACTTGAATTTAGGAATTCTGATTTTGTTGAACAAATTTTAATTAAAATTTTATTGATTTGAAGTTGAGTTTTGAGATGATATAATTCATTTTGAATTTGTCATGCTTGAATTAAAGAAAATTACTTTGGATATCAAGTCAATCATAATTCAATTAGGGGCGCGTACATACATAACACACAATTCTTATGTATTTGCATATCTAACATTATATATATATATATATATATATAAAGGTCAACAGAAGAGCTGGCGAGGGAGTAAGGAGGAGGTGAGAAGTGAAGATTCTTGGCGTAAGGAATAGTTGTTATATATCAATATATATTTGAAGTAAAATACATGTTTTGCATGCATGATTTCAGAATATCCAAGTGTTATAAAGATCAAATTGCTATAAATGTAAGCATGAAATTTTAAATACATAAACATTATTTGGTATGTATTTAAAATTCCTATTCAATTATTATAAAGTGAGTTTAATTTAATTAAAGCGTTGACAAGAATAATCCTCAATCTTAGAGAAATCATGACTTTTATCTCTAAAAATTGTATGAATTTGTATGATGATTGGTGTAGTATACGAAAGAAATTTCAATTAATGGCAGATTAAAGTAGAGGCTGAGAATTACCCTCATCCTTCTAATTTTGATATAAATCCTCTTGTAATAAGATTTATTCATAGAATTTATTATAACTATGTATAATGAAAATTCTACTCATCATAAATGAATGATAATCAATTCTAAATATGCAAATTCAAGTTTTGATTAGGCCATTAATGTGAAGGGAAGAACCCCAAGCAAAAACAAAAAAAATAAAAAGATAAAAAAATAAAAAAAGTACCATCATTACTTGAAGGATTATCAACAAGCAAATAAAAATTCATGCACTTAGGTCCATAGAGTACTTATATATCATTTTATCATTCTAGTGAATACATATAATATTATAAATTGTATGTTCATGGTATCCAAATATGGTACTAGTCAAGTTCTCAAGTTATGCACTAAACTCATGCATTTTACATTCAACTATTGTTAATACATGCAATGAAATCGATTGAGTTGCATTAAACAAGTTAAGAAACTAAGTAAGGCTTGCTTAGAAAAAAAATATTTCAAAAATTTCAACTACTATTTATCATCTATTTTCAAATTGGCAAGTTTAACTGTAATATCAAGTGCATGTCTTTCAAGAAAAGTAAAATTAAAGTTTGCAAAGAAAGACTGAAAGAGGCGTGAAAATAGCCATGATCTGATGATTAAATGAGAATTTTGTTTTCTAAAGTTATGAATTTCTGGTTGCATACTTTATAATTTATTGCTTACCCTTCCCCCCCTTCTAGAGTAGGGGTGTAAACGAGTGTTTATATTTCGAGCTCAAAAAGTGTGTTCGTGTTCGGCTCGTTTGCTTAACG